GGTATTTTCAATAACCTCATCTGCATGTGAAAGCTGGACAGTGAATAAGGAAGACCGTAGAAGAATTGATGCCTTTGAGTTACAGTGTAGAAGAAGAATATTGAAAGTACCATGGGCTGCCAAAAGAACCAATAGATCCGTTTTGGAAGAAGTGCAGCCAGAGTGTTCCTTAGAGGCCAAGATAGCCAAACTTCGTCGCTCATACTTTGGACATATTGTAAGGAGGGACCAGTCACTGGAGAAGGATATCATGTTTGTTAAGGTGGAGGGTCAGAGAAAAAGAGGGAGACCCCCAACGAGATGGATTGTCAAAGTGGCAGCATCTATGGACTCAAGCTTGGCAACAGTAGTGACGTTGGCCCAGGATTGGGCATGCTGTGCATAAGGTCGCTATGGGTCAGTTCCGACTCGATGGCACCTAACAACAACACGAGCATTCATTTTCTCTCCTAAGAGCTCTGCTAACAATGAATACCTCTTGGGAGTAGGATTGTTGGGGGTGTGAAAAATAGGAGACCCACTTTTTAAGCAGACACATTTATGTATTATTTCCCTTTTTCTAAAAAAAATATGTATTGCTTTAGTAATAAAAATGAAATACTGATGAAGATCTCATTCAACTGAAAAGGTATCAGAGAGGTCTGCTCCCAAATCACAGGTAAGCCCTTTCCCATATTTGGGCCTTGGAGAGACTGAGAGCAGGTGGCCTGTGGGAGTCAGCTCCACACCCTCCATAGGCCACGGGTCTTTCCTGAGCTGCCCATGGGTTGGGATTGGGAGCTGATGAGGGGTCATCATTCTGGGATGAGGGAAATAACAGTCTTGTTTTTTATTACTTAGAGGAGGCAGCACCTTCAGCAAGGGATATGTTTTGAAATTTGAAGGACTCTTGGAAAGTTTGAGCCCATCCTTAAGCATTTTTGCCATAATGGACAGACTTGGGTCCATGTGACCTTGGAATGGATATGTCACCTCTTGGGAGCTCTGTTTCCCTAGCTGTAAAAGGAGTGGACTGGAGAAAAATGGTCCTAAAGGGTCCAACACAGCTGTTCACCATTCATTTATTGTTAGTTTCCATCCAGAGCTTCCCAGCCACTCGTCTCAGCATCCCAGGAGAGAAAACATAGTTCTTTGTTCACTGGGTATATTTATTTAATTTCAGAATGATGAGCTCATTGTTGTGTATAAATAAACAAATCTATTT